GGAATTTGCGATTTGACTGTTGATTCTGATGTAAAAGTTCGCGAGAAACACGATGGTGACACTGGTTTTCTCTGAAATCAACTCCCAAGCTTAAAAAAAGCTCTCAAATTGAGGCCAAAATGGAGGGGATATCCCACGCTATCCTGAGAGCCCACCTCTACATCAAGACAAACTCTCCATGCAAAGATAGGGAGCCAATACATTGACAGGGCTGCCACTTTATTTGAGGACTCTGAAACTGAAAACACGGCATCACTGCTAATGTTTGCTCCCTATCTTTGCATGGAGAGTTTGTCTTGATGTAGAGGTGGACTCTCAGGATAGCGTGGGATATCCCCTTCATTTTGGCCTCAACTTGAGAGCTTTTATTGAGCGTGGGAGTTGATTTCAGAGAAAAACAGTGGCACCATCGTGTTTCTTGCGAACTTTCACATTGGAATCAATAGTCAAATCACAAATTCCTCACTTATGCAACATCTCCATTGTTCAGTACCTAGTTCTAACAATACAAAGCAAGTAAGTAAAAATGTTGCCTTTTGAATTTGATTTCACATGTCGACGGTGTAAGTCGGCAATCACATAACTTGGTTTTCAACGTCGCAGACTTTCTGTCATACTATATTTTTTGAACGGAGAACTACTCGAAGCCAATTCTTTAAAACTGCCGTGAATTTTCTTCTCTGTGCGAAGAAAATTCTGCAAAAACTTCAAGGAATGATGTCAGTTTGTTCTCCTTTAAAAAAATAACAAAGAGGCAGAGATTTTCAGACACCGCAAACGAGTTATGTGATTGCCGACTTGCACTGTCGATGTGCTTTGTCACATAATAATGTGTGTTTCACTGGCACTGGCACAGAAAAAACACGACACGGTGATAATATTTTTCAGGAAAGATCTCAGCACAATAGAAAATTCCTTACATTTAAGCGAAGATTATAGAATTAAACATGGAAAACTGCAAATAATATAAAAAAAGGGCCATCCCCATTTTTATCCTTCAGTTCCAGTATTCATTTAAATATCTGGTTTTGCTCTGGATTTACTCATTACTATCATACACAGCATCAAACCTGCAGTCTCGAGATTCACTTTCCGAGCAGTTTTTTAGCTCTTTTGAAAAATTTAAAAAAAAGGAGATGGTCTTTCTTCGAAATTATTAATTCAAAAGTTACAATGAAAAAGTAAATTTTTCAACTCCAGCCCTGAAAATACAAGTTTGGTAATAATGAAACGGTAGCTCACAAAGGGTATTAAAAGTTGAATGCAATACTTACAATCAGTTTCAAGTTTCCACGGACCTATGGTGGCTGGTTGAGGATTTGTTAATAAATTTTCCATGAACGCAGTTGGATCATGAAACACTATTTCTTCTTAGTACGCTGATAAAAGAGATTTTCATAGAAACTAAAATATCTGGATTTGTTAAAAAAAGCTTCAGCATATGGTGGACTGTTCCCTAAACAAAAATGAAAGTAACGGTTAGGTACTCTGCAAAGTACAGACTCGTTGGAAATCAAATGAAAAAATTCATTAGGGATGATATCGATTGATAACCGCACTCCAGAAACTACAACAGGTAAATGGATGATAATGATTATTATTATCAGCAAAATCTCAAAAGTTCCCTGACAGCCAGATTACTTATTAATGGTAGCAAAGCTCTTTCATAGCCTCTTTCACTTTGCTACACTGCTCAGCAACATGAAAGGGCACGAATGCGTAATGTTTTCCATTATTGTTTTAAGGCCACCACCATTGACTATCTACAGAATTAGAGAAGGGTCCCAGGAGGCGTTCCTCCTGAAACATACTGTCAATAGAGATGAACAAAAGAAATTGACTCTGCGATCGACTTGCACAAAATTATGGATTTTCGCTCATCCAGGAAGACGGCAACATTGATCGAGATTTCCCGTTTGGATTTTCTCTAAATTTTCCGAGGATGGTCCTGGGAGTGTGGACTCAATACACAATGTGTGAAATCGAATGAACAAATGAAATTGTGGAAACGTTAGAGCCTGTTCCGAATATCCGCGACTCGACTCGTATGGATGATGGGGCGATTCAGCAACATTTCTCGATATTTCCCGTCTGGATTTTCTTTAAATTTTCCGAGGATAGTCTTGGGAGTGTCGGCTCATTACACAATGTTTCAAATCGGATGAACAAATGAAATTGTGGAAACGTTAGAGCCTGCTCCGAATATCCGCGACTCGACTCGTATGGATGATGGGGCGATTCGGCAACATTTCACGATGTGTCCCGTTTGTATTTTCCCTAAATTTTTCGAGGATGGTCGTGGGAGTGTAGACTCAATACACAATGTGTGAAATCGAATGAACAAATCAAATTGTGGACACGTTAGAGCCTGTTCCGAATATCCGCGACTCGGCTCGTATGGATGATGGGGCGATTCGGAAACATTTCACGATGTGTCCCGTTTGGAATTTCCCTAAATTTTCCGAGGATAGTCTTGGGAGTGTAGACTCCATACACAATGTGTCAAATCAGACGAACAAATGAAATTGTGGACACGTTAGAGCCTGCTCCGAATATCCGCGACTCGCCTCGTATGGATGATCGGGCGATTCGGCAACATTTCTCGATACTTCCCGGTTGGATTTTCTCTACATTTTCCGAGGATAGTCCTGTTAGTGTAGACTCAATACACAATGTGTGAAATCGAATGAACAAATGAAATTGTGGAAACGTTAGAGCCTGTTCCGAATATCCGCGACTCGACTCGTATGGATGATGGGGCGATTCGGCAACATTTCTCGATATTTCCCGTTTGGATTTTCTTTACATTTTCCGAGGATAGTCCTGTTAGTGTAGACTCAATACACAATGTGTGAAATCGAATGAACAAATGAAATTGTGGAAACGTTAGAGCCTGTTCCGAATATCCGCGACTCGACTCGTATGGATGATGGGGCGATTCGGCAACATTTCACGATGTGTCCCGTTTGGAATTTCCCTAAATTTTCCGAGGATGGTCCTGGGAGTGTAGACTCAATACACAATGTGTGAAATCGAATGAACAAATTAAATTGTGGACACGTTAAAGCCTGTTCCGAATATCCGCGACTCGGCTCTTATGGATGATGGGGCGATTCGGCAACGTTTCTCGATATTTCCCGTTTGGATTTTCTTTAAATTTTCCGAGGATAGTCCTGTTAGTGTAGACTCAATACACAATGTGTGAAATCGAATGAACAAATGAAATTGTGGAAACGTTAGAGCCTGTTCCGAATATCCGCGACTCGACTCGTATAGATGATGGGACGATTCGGCAACATTTCTCGATATTTCCCGTCTGGATTTTCTTAAATTTTCCGAGGATAGTCCTGTTAGTGTAGACTCCATACACAATGTGTCAAATCAGACGAACAAATCAAATTGTGGACACTTTAGAGCTTGTTCCGAATATCCGCGACTCGGCTCGTATAGATGATGGGGCGATTCGGCAACATTTCTCGATATTTCTCGTTTGAATTTTCCTTAAATTTTCCGAGAAATAGTAGATAAATCGACGAAGCAATACTCCCTCCCTCCCTCCCTCCCTCCCTTACTCAGCTTCTTCTCCCTTGCCCCTGTATCCTTCACTCCTCCCTTTTTCCGAAGGATGGATGATGGATGGATGGACTCGACTCGTATGGATGATGGGGCGATTCGGCAACATTTCACGATGTGTCCCGTTTGGATTTTCCCTAAATTTTTCGAGGATGGTCCTGGGAGTGTAGACTCAATACACAATGTGTGAAATCGAATGAACAAATGAAATTGTTGAAACGTTAGAGCCTGTTCCGAATATCCGCGACTGGACTCGTATGGATGATGGGGCGATTCGGCAACATTTCTCGATATTTCCCGTTTGGATTTTCTGTAAATTTTCCGAGGATAGGCCTGTTAGTGTAGACTCCATATACAATTTGTCAAATCGGATGAACAAATGAAATTGTGGAAACGTTAGAGCCTGTTCCAAATATCCGCGACTCGACTCGTATGGATGATGGGGCGATTCGGCAACATTTCTCGATATTTCCCGTCTGGATTTTCTTTAAATTTTCCGAGGATAGTCCTGTTAGTGTAGACTCCATACACAATGTGTCAAATCAGACGAACAAATCAGATTGTGGACACGTTAGAGCCTGTTCCGAATATCCGCGACTCCGCTCGTATAGATGATGGGGCGATTCGGCAACATTTCTCGATATTTCCCGTTTGAATTTTCTCTAAATTTTCCGAGAAATAGTAGATAAATCGACGAAGCAATACTCCCTCCCTTACTCAGCTTCTTCTCCCTTGCCCCTGTATCCTTCACTCCTCCCTGTCAACACCCTTTCTTCTCTCCCTCCTCCCTTCCCCACNCTCCCCTCCCCCTCCCGACTTTCTCCTTCTCATTCTCCTCCCCTCCCCCTCCTGCCCGTCCCACCTATCCTCCCTCGCCCTTCCCGCATCCCATATTCAGTATCTACGACTTCCATAGCCATCATCTGATCTTGACGGATCTCTTCTCTCCTTTTCCTATCCACTATTTGGCTCAAAAAAGCTAATTTCAGTGATTCATAATAATAGAGGAATCCAAACGGGTAAATTAATGGTAAAAAGTGATCCCGGAACGAATTCCTCTGTATAGTTTTATGATGGTTCCGGATCTTTTCCGGATCTTTTAGAATACTACCCGTTCCGAAAACATCGGACATCAACTTAGTAGGTAACTCAAGTAACTCCTGGGTAACTCAGGTAACTCTGTAGCGTTTAGCTCGAATATCACGAAAAATTAATCGAAAATAGCTTCAATGAATTATTTCCAGAACTTTATTCGTTTACGTAATGAATCAGTTCAAAATACATTCAATCATTTCATCATACAAGAAGAAAAATCTGGATGCAACAGACGCAACTTTGTATACACAGATGTACTTTACGTAGTTGCAATCACGAGAAGAGACGACCTCTCACTCTGTTTTCATCCATGGTGCGTTTGTTGTGAAGTTTTTCCATGTTTACATTTTGCTCTTTTTGATTTCACAATAGTTTTCCTTCGTTTTTTCATAAAATTTTAGCATTCTGGTGTATCAAATTTCACCTTTTGGCGTGATTTACAGTTAGAAGAATATCTAATTTTGTCACCCCTTTTATTTGTTTATTTATAACTCAGTAAATTGGAGTGTTCATTGCTTATATAGCGGTGTTCGAGTTTGACTCTGCTCTTGTCTCTTCTCACCAACTTCTCACGCATCCATTCAATCTATTCAAATTTTGCTCTTTGTTTTTCGCACGAACTTCATGTGCAATGTCTAATGAAGATTCTGAAAAGACATTATCAGACCACTTCGATGAAGCTCTCAAAAGTTATGAGAGTATCTGCAATTGCTCCGAACCAACTAACAGTCCAGAAATTCAGGTAAAGTCAAGTAGTCAAGCCTTAATCTTGAAATTTAACAATAATAAAATGTTATGCCTTAGAATATATTGCTCTTTTAACTTATTATGGAAAGTCTAATTCACACGATCACATTTTTCGCATGTACATAATCAGATTAAATTTACATACTTGGTGATTTCATAGCGGTACTCAATCATACGATAAGTTGTACAGGAACTTGAATGTAACATTATTTTCCAATTTTCATCCCACTTAATTGAATGTGAAGCTCGAACTATGATTCAAGCTTTATTTATTGCAGGGCAATATATCTAATTATAAAACGTGTTAGACAAAAGATTCTAAGTCCTAGGCAACCAAAGCGAGAGATTGATGTCCCATAATTGATCTGATTCCAAGGCATTTTAACAGAGTATCTACCATTTGAATCTGAATATTGATGACAAGTAAGACTGCAATGAAATGAAGGGAGGCATCTCCACAGACCTTCACCTGTCTTGTAGTATCTGTTACAATCTTCTGGTCTTTTTTATACACCTAGGTTCCACACCAAGTGTGATTATTTTTGAGAAATAGTGCCATTCAACAGAAATAAGAGTATCCAAGAATTTTTTCCCTGACCTGTGTAGAGTCAAAAAATTATAATGTTGTCATGCAACCTCCCAAGTTTTACCATTCACCCTTTGCATGATAATTTAATTTAAAAACTTTTCCCTTGAAATACACCATGCGTCCTCCGTCTCAAGTCTACTCTTCCCTCCCTCACTGAAAATGAAGAAGAGGTTTATCTAACTCCTTGAATTTTTTGTTTTGTTTACAGTACCGAGTTAAAAAGTGTATGAATTTGCTGGAAGATACAACTCGATTGGTATCGGAGACAGGCATGTTCAGCTCCAATGAGTCCATCAGTGAAATCGCAACTTCTCACATAAAATTCCTACTTCTGCCTGCTCTTTTGGGGTCCTTGGCATTAAAATTAACCACATCAGGAGATAGGACTGAAATTGTTCAAACTGCAGAAGTTTATTTCAGAGACTTCTTGCAGCGCTGTAAAGATTATGGACTCACAGATATTCAACTTCCTCCAGCTCTTGATGAGGATGAAACTGTCGCTGAAAAGCCCACAGCTGGACCTTGTCCAGGAATTGATTTCATTGGAATGGCACAAAGGAGACAAACTAAGATTCAGCAGTATCATCAACAAAAAGAACTAGAAGCCAAATTATCTATGTTAAAAGAGGAAATGTCTCGAAACGTTGATGAGGAAATTAAGCGAGAATACTTTATTTCACTAGTAAAATCTTATGTTCACAAGAGTTTTGAAGACTTAGAATGTGTCATGTCTGAAAAAGAGATGCTTGTAAAAATGGCAGCTATGAGGAGTAAGGCGAAAAATGAAGGTTTACCCGAAGTTCGCAACAATGTCAAGACGAGGCCTCTTGTCCCGATAATCATCACCAAAAATGAAATTCAGAAGCAAGTGTTTGGTGCAGGTTATCCTAGTCTACCAACTTTTACAGTTCAAGAGCTTTATGAACAAAGAATTAAGGATGGAGTGTAAGTCTTGTCCTCTTTTCACGTATCTCATATATTTAAATGCCTCAGTATCTTTTTTCAATCTCTACGATTGAGGATTCCGGAAGAAGGGCCCATAGAACATGGGCGAGCCCACTGCATATCATCTGGAAAAGCAAGTAGCAATGGTCAGCCATGCCCCCGGTTTTTTCATTCAGCTATTGCTGCGAAACGAGCGTACTTGGACTTTGGGTCTTCCCTCTAAACCGCCTCTTAATCTTTTTCACCACAACATTGATACAAAATTTATGGAAGCTTGTTTTGATTAGGTAATCAGGAGTAGTTGCATCCCTTGACAATGTAAAGTACTTATGAGCTCAGGTTTTGGACACAGGAATCAAGATCCACATTTTCAGAGTTTAGCAATCAATGTATCCATGTCCGGAGAAGTCCGATAAAAATAGGACTACCTTACCTCAGCTTTTCGGTTTTCCTTTACAAATAGAATGGAAAGAAGTTAGGCTGTAAAAGTCATAACTATACGATGAAAAGAAGCTGGAAGTCATTCTTATGTGTATCTATGTCTATCTACGTGTATCTATGTTTATCTACGTAGTTACTTAGTTTGAGAGGAGTGCAAGTCTCTCAGACCCATTTACTTTCTGTCTGCCATCGATGCAGAGTATCTTGTCGTGTTTCTTTTCCAACGCTGAAGAGGAACCTGCAGAACTTGTACCAAACTGACCTGTAGAACCAAAATGTTTTTCATTTTTTTATTCGAAAATTTTTGAAAGATCTACTTGTTCGGATTTCAGATGGAGCAATCCAGCAGAAACTTCAGCCAGAAGCTTGCAAGGTCTGTGTGATCCTAATGCTCACTTGACGAAAGAAAGAGAAGAAATGGAAGAAGAGAAGGCCATCGAAGAGGATGATCCAGAGACTCTCGCTAGGGCCCGAATGATGGACGAATTCAAAGATGAAGTGAAAAGAGGATCTGGCAACAGATATAACCGCAGCTAAAATTGAACTTTAGAAATTGACACTATCACTGTGTGAATGATGATTTCATTTCTTGTCAATCCTTTTTTTTGTGATCAATGTTATTTTTTTTTACATTATCACCCATTATGGTTGATTTTATCCAACCCTTAAAGACTATTGTCTTTTGTTTCCTATTTTTGATGTCTAACACTAGGTGGATAAGTTCTAAAACAAATTGCTGTACAAAGTTGAGTATCTGGAATCCCTTTTTGTTTTCTGCCCCGTCTATATTTTCAGTCCTTGTAGAAAGTAAGAATCCAAACAATAAAAAATGTGATCTATTCGTTTACATATTTTTTCCTTTGACTTTTTTTTCGAAGAAAGAGCAACATTTTACAACCGCTTTTTATCTGGATTGCGCCATAGCCTATTTAAAATGAACAATTGGTGCTGTATGCTGTGTCAGCAGTTCATTTGATGTACCCTGTATGCCATTTTTATTCTTCTTAAAGTTAACTAAGTTTACAACATCTGCCATTTTTTAAAGAAAAAATCGGCTCTTGCTCTAAAATCTTTCTGATGGGCACAAACAAATTTAACTTTTAATTATTAAGAAATGATAAATTTAACTCTTTTGATTTTACTAAATTTGACTTTTTTACTGCGGTAGTGACAAAAACAATACTTAACAAGTGTTTAAAAGACTTTTATTATTGTGGTAGTGACAAAAACAAAACTTAACAAATGGTTTATAAAATATTTTGAAAGGGTTGAGTTTTAAATTTTTACAACTTATAAATAAACTGCTCAACATAAATGCTGCAGAGAAATTAGTGAATCGTACAGACTTTCTCTTTATACATCTACAGATTCTTGCATTAGAAATTTTTTTTGGAAAACACGATTTTTGAAATTTCAAATGTTTCTGCAACGGGCAAAATCTAAAGATTTTTTTTTTTTCGGTTTATGAGGCAATAGAAATCCTAAGATTTTTCCAAAATTCTTTGTAAACATACACAAATATCTTGTGCCATTAAAGGTTTCCCTGTCCCTGATAATTCCTAGGTCAAAATTATATCCTCATTCCTCGTCAGTCGCAGGTTGCAAACAGATTTGATCTGTTCCTTGGATTTAGTGAGAAAATCTCACCACATGTAGAAAAAAATCATTTTACTTTCAAAAAATTTCTTGGCTAAGAATAGTATTATAATCAGTCTAGAAAGGTCTGCCTTCCTATTTGCTGACTTTAACTTAACACCGAATATTTTGGCCAACAATGATTTCTGAACACTTAATTTAATATGCATGGATAAAACATAATTCTGTTTTTCTCCAATGGTTTGTCCCCGTTCTGGAATGCTAAGGCTGATCCTAGACTTATAAAAATTCAGGGTCTTTGCTCTGATATAATTCACATGGAGCGCAATAATTTATATCAGCACATCCTGAGGAACATCACGAGGCTAACATTACAAAAACTTTGCTACCTCACGATGAGCTTCTTAAAATTGATTGGACTAAAATTGAGAGTTTTCAAATACTAAAAAATAAAACTGAAACTAAAATCATTTAAAAAAAATAGAAAATGCTTTCGGTTAAGAGGGATTAAAATCGAGAAAGAACTGATGGAGAGGATTTTCAATGGGCCAGTGGCACTGAATGGAATCTTACTTTGTACTTTTTTCTGGTAAGAATGAAGGTGAAAGAAAGAAAGGAAAGTCTAATTCTCACTCAAAACAGTCTGAGTAAATTGTCTGAGCACTTCAATGATGGTTAAATTACCAGTGATTAGTCGAAAATCAGACCCAATTCCCAAACTGAATTTTTTCAGAGAAAAGTTGACCACAGTATCAATGCGTTCCCACAATAATTTCCAGACTGTACTTGCAAATACGAGGAATTGTCAATATCCCGTTGCAAATAGAGTTCATGGTGTCTTTGCTACACCGCTGAGATGAATGAGATAAACCTTGACTTTCAGGCATGTCGCTTTGAGTTGCTGCCTCTTCAGGAACCCGAGAGAGAGAGAGAGAGAAGGAGACGTTACCGGAGGCCGAACTAATGTTTCTTGAGCTTGCTCATCTGGGTTAGTTTTTGTTGTTTCAGCTTTCGCATTTTCTTCCTCCTCTCTTCTTCCTTTTCTCTCTGGATATCTTCTAAATCTTCCAGAAGACCTGAAATCAAATGGAAAATGGAAGCAAAATAATCAAAAATGGAAAAAAATAATTAAGAGAAGAAATTCATGGAAAGGAGTTTTTATCTGAAGAGACTGAAAAATGAAGATTTGAAATGCTAGGTAAATGGTCAAAAAATCCAAAGGAGATGCATGTTGATGGTTGAATTGCGAAATCACGTATCTCCATTAGTTCCATTGCAGATTTTCTGCAATAATTCATTTTTTCTTAGAAAAACAAGTCAACATAATTTTTTGAAAACGTCCTTGATTTTTCTTCTCTGTCAGCAGAATGTTCTGCATTAACTCCAAGCTATAGAGTTGTTTATTTTCTCTTCGAAAATGTAGAAAACAAAATTTTGAAATACACAGTAGAGATGCATGGTTTTGCACTTCCGTCATTGATGTAGGTGATTCAGAAGTTACAGAACTTGAAAAAGTCCGCTAAAAACGACAATTCCTCACAGGTTTGGCAAATTTACAAAGGAACCACTAAGCCATCTAGAGAAAACTACATATTATGGAAAAGTATACCAATGGTAAAACTGCAGGAATGCATACAAATCTCAGTTTGTGGCATTGCAGACTTCCTGTCACACTTCATCCTCTGCATGGCAAACTAATAAACGTCATTCCTTGAAAACTTGGCTAGATTTTTTTCTGGCATATTCTGTGAAGATTATAAGCAATGATGTTGGTTTGCTTTTCTATTTGAAAGATAAAATAGAATCGTAGATTTTGAAACAGCTCGACCGAGATATGCATTTTTGCTGTTTAACTGTTGAGAAGTACATACCAGAACATTTAGGGCAATTTCTATGGTTCTTCACAGGTAACATTTTACAATATTTTCTTACTTAAGTTAAAGGCGTTTGGAATTTTCAAAACCCTGGCTCTATAAGTCGGCAAAATATCAGACCTGAATTTTGGTGAAAAGAAACTAAAAACTCACCAATCCTCGCACTGTGGAATTCCTCCTTTTGAACTTGATGGAAATTGGACTCCATAGCAACATCATCCTCATCATCCACATATCTGTACCTATAAAAGAAAGGAAATAAATAAAAATCGAAGGCTCAAGAAATCCAGCTGTGTAAAAAAAATTTTTAGGAGCATCAGTTGTAAATTTAGTTTTAACTCATGTGTTTACACTTGACATTATCATTCTTACTGACATTAATGACTTAAGGTGACTTACAATTAGTCATTTTTCCCAACAGATGAGACAAATCGACGGTGTAAGTCGGCAATCACATAACTCGGTTTGCGACGTCACAGACTTCCTGTCATACTTTATTTTTTAAACGGAAAACTACTCAATGGCAATTCTTTGAAACTGTCATGATTTTTCTTCTCTATGCGAAGAAAATTCTGCAAAAACTTCAAGAAATAATGTAAATTTTTTTCTCCTTTCAAACAATGATATATAGGCGGAGATTTTCAGACACCGCAAACGAGTTATGTGATTGCCGACTTACACCGTCAAAATGCAGCACGCTGCAGGCTATTCGAAAAGCAAGAGATTGGGGATCCAGGGGGCGTAGCCTACGACTAAACGTAAAGCAAGCTTGTGCTGCTAATTTAAGATACAATTTGAACGATTTATATTTTATCTCAGGATGCAGCTGAGTTAAAGCTCAGAATGTAAATTACTGTGATCTTGAACGAACACTTTTCACTTTTTTGCTAGCAAATCTGCACTTGTGTCCCTACATAACTTTATATTTATGATCTTTTTGTTGGTGAGAATATATAAAAAAGGTCAAGCTCCTTGAATTTTCTCGATAGGAGATACTTTCCGGAGGGTGAAATAAGAGGACTTATTTTTTTAAGAGACAAACTCGAGCTTCCGCGCTTGAAAGAATTTTTCAACGACAGAAAAATACCACAGTGCTGATTAATAAATATAGGATTTAAGAACGCTTACTTTGATTTATCATAACCAAATATTTCAGAAATGGCTTTGGAAACTTCATTCGCAGCATCATCTTCATCATCGTCTATAAAATCGTCCAGCTCAGAGTCATATTCATCTTCATCGTCAGACTCAATACGTCCTGAAACAAAAAGATCAAAAAATCACAATAGGGCAAGATAATCAAGGTGATATTTCATACATACTTCACGCAGATAAAAATTGAGTTTAATATCAGTGATCGATTATTTAGCTCTCCTGGCAGGCAAGTTTCATGCATTGTCATGTTATATCTTCAGCAAGCCTGGTTTCTTAATCTCAATTGTAAGCTCTGAATGATGATTTGATATGATTTTGTGTCTTGGAAATTTTGCTTACATACTCGAGAACTACTGAGAAGATCCTTGCAGAAACTGAATTTAAATGTGTACAACTAAAAATATTTTTTTTTGGGTGTCCTTATCTAAATAAATACTGAAAGTGATAGAAAACACTCAAACTCAATCAACATTATGAGGTTTCTCTGGATATTCATCTGGGATGACCTCAATGTATTCCAGACATGAAAGACTTTGTGATATATTCTCCATGCTAGGGTAACATCCGAGCGCATCTACAGAGCCGAATGTGTGAAATTTGGACACTACACATTCATGCGGCCGTTTAAAAATGCACATCTTGTAAACAGCTCGGTGACAGGCAGGCTAAAACAAATGAAAGCTTTTGGAGTAAAAGTTAATGAAGGCTTTCTCTCCTTCATGATTATCAAGGAATCAACATGGATAGTGTACTTAAAAATAAACGAGTAAAAACAAAAATATTAAGAGGATCAATGTTTTCAATAATAGAATAGTTGAACAACATCCGAGATGAGTCTTGCTCCTGACGCAATATTTAAAAGAGGAAGATTATTTAAACTTTAGGACACTTACGTTTCACAACTTTTAAAGGTTTTTTCTTCATATCTCCTGGTCTAGATTTTGGATAGAGATCTCGAGGAGGAAACTCTCTTGGTTTGATATCTTTGCGAGGCAGTTCTCTTGATTTGACATCTTTGGGAGGAAATTCTCTAGGTTTGATATCTTTCGGAGGGAATTCTCTCGATTTGACATCTTTAGGGGGAAATTCTCTAGATCGGATATCTTTCGGAGGGAATTCTCTCGACTTGACATCTTTAGGGGGAAATTCTCGAGGTCTACCATCTTTAGGCGGAAATTCTCTAGATTTAGAATATGGATCTTTACTAGATAAACTCTTAGACTTTTCGGGGGGCAGAGAAACTTTTTTACTTTTTTCATTCCTACTAGAGTCAGATAATGGCTTCTGTAATGTATTCTTGAGGATTGAGGGTGAGGATTCCTCAGATCGATCAAACTGAAGATCTCGCCGAACTGAGCTGGATGAACTGCTTTCATTAATCTTGGGTGAACTTTTGAAACCATTCAATTTCCTATTGTCGTCATTTGACGGAGGCCTCTTAGAGGCACTTAAATTTTTGTTTTGGGATATTTTCACATCCCTTTCCATAACTTTTTTCCTTGCTAGATTACTATTTTTATCACTTGTGAGATTACTTGGAGATGACCAAACTTTACTGTCTTTCTTCAACCTCTCCTCTGCTGGTAAACTTTCGTCTGACTCAGATATGGATACCTTTTTACTAGATATTTTGTCGGATGAGCTTGGTTTCTTCCCAATCTCATCTTTTCTTCTGTTCTTCAGGGCCATTTCCCGCTCTCTCCTCAATCTTCTTTCTCTCTCTTGTTCATATTCTAATTTTTCTTTTTTGGTCATTAGCCTTTCAGGCTCTTGCCGTTTGACGACTGGAGCTTCTTTTTTAACCACCACAGGTTCATGTTGTTTTTGCTCTGCGATTTTAAGAAGTTCATGAAAATCCATAGGAGGGGGCATCGGTTTTCGCGGCTTTTTGGGTTTTTCTGGTTTTTCTCTCTCTTTCTCTTTTCCATGTCTAGTTGGTGCATCATCTGATTCATCTCCATCTCTTTTTTCCTCATCATCCTCCCCGTCCCGAGCACCATTTTCTTTATCTTTGTCTTTTCTTTTCCGTTTTCGAGGTAGGTACTTTTCTTCCTCTTCCTTTTCCAGTTGAGCTTTTACTCTGTCCTGCAAGAAAAAAAGAAAGGAAACGACAATATAGGAAGTCTGTTTATAAGAAAGAAGCTTATGTTTGTTTTTATCTTGGCGTGATGGAAGAAGAGAGAAAATCATCGCTAAGGACAAAACCAATGAAAATGATACAAATAGAAACTTTTCGCCAATGAAAACTAACATTTTCACACAGTGCAGGATCCAGAAAGATGAATCTACTAGGATATTCAAATTGACTGATGGCCATCATTTCTTTCAATGGAAGTTCACAGGAATAAATAAAAATGCATGAGCATTGACAAATTAACCACAAAAAAGAAAGAAAAAAAAGAAAGAAAGAAAAAAGAAAACGTAGAGGTACCTAGTTTTTCAACTTTTTCAACAGTTTTTCTTTTAACTAGCTAATACTGAATCTTGGAGAACAAAACTGTCTCATTAAAATTAAGATTTATGGTGTATAAGAAACAGACTAGCATTAATCTAAACTAGACATCAAAATAGCTAGGCAGCAAAAATTCCAGCAGTTTTGGAGGTTTCCTCATATGGGACAAAGATTGCAAGAAAAGTACGTTTTAATGAAAATTTCTTGACTTGTGCTACTCATTGTACTAAATTGTTCTCAGTGGTTGGAATTAAAAAAATGTTTCTAGTGAGGAGTAGGTAGCGGTGAAAAATACTGTAACAAGGCGTAAGATACATTGCCTGTTTTAAACAGCTCAGTCTCTTTGGGCCACCTCTTTGATATAGTAACCTTTGCATTTACGGAGATATTATATACAAGGCTAACCTAAAATTTTTGCTCCGACTAGGGAGTGTAGTTCATACCTGAAAACAAAAAAGAATTTACAAAGGAGAAAAATTAGCTTACCCTTGTACTAGATATATCTTTGGCAGATACAACCTTCTTCGAAAATTTGTTTTCTTCAGCAGGCTGTGCTAAATATTTCTCCATTAACTTATTGTAAAGTGATGATGCTTCTTGAGAAACGTAGCCATAATCATCTTCATCACACTGCATTGGACCTGAAATTAAAATGTTCTGATCTTACTATGTTGATGTGAAAATAATGAATTCTAAGTAAAACTCGAGAGTCTTTAAAAATTAAATATAAAATCGGGTAAAAACTCAATTACGCCCTATGATATAATACAGCTAGATGCGTTTCTGACTGTGTGGTCGAACATTAGTGGCTTTATTGGACCATAAAAAAGAGTTTTCAGAGTTTTTGTTCGAACTGATATTATTTTCATAATAGCTTTTATTTCTCTGATTACTATACCTTTTTTTGCTGTTTTCATAATTATAATTTTGTGTTTTATAAATATCACTTGTTTTAGTAAGCTTAACTTTTTTAAAAATCACATATATCTTACCATTTGCTTAATTTTATTATATTTCATGGTCATGTCAAACTTATTACTACCTAGTTTCAATTATGGTTATGATAATTAAAATTAAGATTGTTAAAGTTAATTTTTCTGGAATTGAAAGGTATACTACTTTTCTATTCATATCAATTATTCAGAATATCTTGTTACCTAAAATTACAGATGGTGTAAATAAAGAAAATATTTTTCTCAATTTTTGGTCTTTATTTTCTTTTTTTACTTTTATAACTAAGAATACTTTATCTAAATTAATAATCATTGTCATTTTTAAGGAGTAAATGGCAGATAATGCCTTCTGAGGTCCAGCTCTCCTCTTGTAGATCAAAAGTCTTTTATCGATGTTACTGGAAAAACCGCCATTTGCTGGATCATCTACTACAACAGCAGAAAACTTAAATTTGACCGTACAAAAATCTTCTCCCAGAAGTAGGGTGCCTTCCACTAACACTAATCACGTATAGAGCGTTGAAAAATATTTTCAGATCATTGACAAGTTAAAAATCTCATGGATTGAAGATTGTTTCAGCAGGAGCACAGAATGTTAGTTAAATCAAGCCTGAAATTTTATTGTTTGGGTATTAAAGAAATGACTGAAAAAAAAAAAAATTCTGCAACCCTGACCACTGATAAGCACCGTTGGGGTAAAGGATGTGTCAAGCTATCATTATCAAAACTGAATGTATCAGTAGAGTGGGGAAGTGAATCTAAGGCCCTGTTTAAAAATCTTTTTCTTCATACAAGAGCTAAATTTCTGGATTTCAATAGTCCCTGAGAAACTCTATTGGCCCCCACTTACGGAGGTGATCGTTCCTTCGCCCCCGAGCCAGTCTGTCCCTGCACTAATTACAGGCTAAATTGGATGGTACCTGTTGGATTACATTGATAATTTTCTGATTTTATTTTAGATTTTTCGTTTTGTCTAATTAAATTACACAGGTCTGACTACATCAAGATGAAAATCCCTTACCTGCAGCTGTCACAGCCGTGTTGACATCATCCTTAGCATCATCTATCACAGCTTTGTTGGCAGATTTCGTTCTTTGTAACATTGATTGTATTCTTTTGGTTGACTTTTTGTCTTTACTTCGTAACGCCAATAATTCCTGTAAAATTAGGAGGAGAGTGATTCAATGTTGATCTCCTAGAATTTTTTCATCTGGTTTTTTTTCTTTTAAAATAAAATTGATTCTGAAACTAGAGTATTGCTGGCCTGATCTCAGAGGAACATCTTTAAATTTTTCTGAAGATGAAGTGCAGTTTATGATAATACTGCTGGGCCTGTTTACTATAGAGTACATAGAGTTATAATATAGTGAAGTGAGCTGGAGTCATGTTCTGGTCGATGAGTTCCGAGCACGATGAGCGCAGAGATTCAATCACATTTTCGATCCATAATGGAGAGGTAGAATACGTAATGATTCCTGACCTCTTTGTTTACATCTGATGGCCAGACATTCTTGTATCGAAATGGTGGCCTGTCACCGCATAGGAGCCATGGAATTTAGAGACTGGAAATACTTAAAAGTGGGGCCAGCACCTCCGTTCCTATGACGACTCTATGTACTCTATGCTGTTTACTGAATGATGCATATAGGAGGTCAGGATGACTATTATGACGATGTTTCGATTGAATAGCAGAAATACACCAGATTTGGATGTTTTGTTTCATTTTCTTTCATTAAACGTTTCACTCCACAAACCTTTTGAATTCACAACAATTGAGTGCAAGTCTTAGGACCTGTGATACCGGTCAAGATGCTTGCACAGGTTCGAGCTTTTTTCTTTTAGAATGACACATAAATTACACAGTAATTTTACGTTTCTAAAAGTTAATGAATGCAGGGGCTCATTGATGATTTAGATGACAAAGAGAGACTAGAAAGATTAGTGACTTGATATCTCGAGGCAAGAGAAAATTATCCAGACTGAGTTCCGCAAACCCAGAACAGCTTCTAACATACTTTTGCCTTTCCTTAATAATTAGAAAGTTTTGCTCCATAGGATAATGCTTCATTCCAAAAGTTGAGTTAGAAGGTAGAGAAAACTTATGAAACTTGAAGGAATGTTACCTCTTTTTTCCTCTTTTCTTCCTCTAATTTCCTTTGCTCTTCTTCATTTTTCTTTTCAAGGAATTTCTTAATGCCTGCAGACAAGTTTTTCTGCTTTTTATCTTCTTTTTTTGGCGGAGCGAACTTGGTGCTGTAAAATCTTTGCGGGGCCTGAAAAAAAGGAAAACGACAGGGTTATTAACTGTCAAGAAGATGTTGACCTTCAAAAGTTTCAACAAAATTTTAAAATATCCTGTTCCTTGACTGATAAGAAAGAAGGGTCATATTTGGAACAAAAAGTTGAAAAGTGGTCGAACTAACAAAAAATCAACACAGGTTTGAGCGACCTGCTGGAGATAAAAAACTCTTAGTTTTAAAGGTACACTGAGGAAATGAAAAAACAAATAAAATCATGGCAAAGGAACTATTTAGACTTAAAAAAAAACACAAAAATTACTGATCTTCCCTCAAGTTTCTAGAGACTCTCAAAATTCAAGCTTCATCATTACTGGAGACTGATTCAAAACAGAACTACCAGATGCCAAATAGTCAGTTTTTCTTGAGTCCGTTTGCATTGCCTAGCCGATTACCCTACCGTTTGGATGACTTGCATATTTACAAATGAATCCATCATCCTTTTTGCCCAGTGCAGAATGGCCTACTAAGATGATTAGGACTACTGAAGGGCATTAAAAAAATGGAGGAACCAACCAATGGTGAATAAGTTCACTTCTACAACGCAGTTTTCATATGGATATGGATAAAAGGCTGTACTAAAGCAAAGTTATCTGTCCTCAATTCATTACTACTTCTGGTTAATACGTAAATCTTTTTCCTCTTTCGAAGCTTTCGATTTGCGCAGTTTCGGCATACTCGGTACCCTGTGTTAAAATTTCTCCAGGCTTTGTTTCAGAATTCTTGCATTAAATTACCAAGTAAGTAATTGATCAGTTTGTCCTCAGGTTCAAGTGAATGGCTTGGGCACTGGTTTGATGAATTGAAGGGCTACATTTGCACTCACGTACCAAAATCCAATATTGTAAGTTAAATCACTCAGTTCTAAGGGCTATGGCACATAAGTTAACGCATTGTAGATGGCGACAAATTTGTCAACTGTCTTCAGTTCGGCAGCTAAGATAAATTAAAGAATCAAAATGGCTGATCTTGTGTGGAGTTCTATAAGTGCATAAGCTTATTTAGTGGAGATTCTGAACAGAATATATATCTACTGACGGTCTCTTTCATCACACCATATGATGACATGATATGGTAAGTAAGAGCTATTTGGTTGGCTAAGGATTTCAGGAACCAAGGATAGAAGGACAATCTATGATGTGACGATCCGCAAAAAAGATTGGTTTGTACAATTTAAGAATGTAGATAGTTGTAGGCATCATAAGATACAAACCTCTTTGACTTTTTGATCATTTTTCTGGGCAGTGTAGAGCAGTGACCCAAAATCCATTTCTGAATGAGTTTTGACAGGGGTTGAAAGTTACCCCTGATTGAGACGAAAACTAAAGTATTTATGAACTAATTGCAAGAACACTGAGCTAGTTACATGATGAAAGGTTTATCTGCCAAGATCATTTACACAAGCAACATTTTCTATGATTTCAAGGGTATAAAATCCAGGAAAAGAAGTCTCTCGAATAAACCTAACCTCTACTGTTTGTTTACATGGCAGACACGACGACCATTTGCAAGTCGAAGTTGCCAGATGAGATCATGTTCATTGCGTTAAAAAAATGAATATATTTTAGTAAATGAATGATCAGACAACTCTGTCGTGCTTACATTTCAGGTCATTCAATTTGTGAACGTGATTGGTCTACATCTTTGGGTCTACAGCACTTTGGCAACATTATAACCTCACTTTTCAGTTCAGTGTTTGGCAGTTATTTTTTTCGTTTTTCCGTAAAATTTTTTCGTGCTTTTTTGAGTGGCGTTTGGCGTTTGTCGTGGTAATTTTGTGTTCGTGTCGAAAGCTTCGCGCCGTGATACGGGTAAGCATCCATTTCATCACTACACAGTATTACTTTACGTGTAAAATTTTCTTCATTTAGTCATTTTTTGAGTTTGTCACTCATCAAAATCCTGATGTGAAAGACTAGCAACCTTACCTTCTTTGTGCTAGACTATTTGAGTGACTAGACTGGAAATGGTCCTACAAATTTGAAATGCTGCTGTCTCCAGCCATATGCAATCACCAAATAAAGCATCTTAATGTGTCTGGGCATCTACCCCCAAGCTTTAGTCTAGAAGTTTTACGACGAATGATACTCCATTGCGTAGGTCATCCCTAGAATCCTAGTTTTGCTCACACATCTAGTTCTCTTGACATTGAATATTCAAGTCATGACTAAAGTCACAAATGGACTAATTTTCAAAGAAAAATGAAGGCGTTTTCGTTCAACTCTCACTAGAAACAAACTTGACGTTGAATTTAAGTTTGCTTGAAATGATCTATAGTTTACTATCTTTGAGAACGATTACCCTCTATTATTGACACCCTTCATCTATTCTAGATTTGTGTTCAAGGTGTTGGACGTCAGTATTCATTCAGCGAAAAGTAGCGTGCATGGCCAGATTACACAGCTTTGTGCAGAGCCTCCTAAATGTGTAGTCACTGGGCTTTAAAATGAGTTGGCATCTAGTATCAGTAGCTTTGATCTACTGGATGAAGGAAGAGAAAACTCCCACTTTACCGCGCTTAGGGAAAACGTAGTGCCTATGAGCAACCGAATGTTGCTAGTTTTCCTTCTAATAAAATATTCATTTTCAGGGGGAGTTATGGATATATTTCTTCGAAATATTCAGAGACGCTTACTTAAATTGTGACTGAAATTCACCGAAAAGTATTTAATAAATTTTCAAGAATATTTCTGTTTTATTGTAATAATTTTGGCAAAGTTTTGTTTTTCATACAGCATTTTTCCCAAGTACGGTAGTGCTTCTCTTAGGCTTGTTTCCACACCACCTTAGGAGAGCCCGACCATACTGAATAGACGGTGGCTACTCCTGGAGGTAGAGCTTTTGGTGTGTTTTTTTAACGTGGTATCGCCAGGAGCCCTAATTTCTTAATTTTCTTTAATGAAGCGTGTAAAGTACGCAATCCGTTAATTCTCAGAGCAGTACTCACCTGCAAGATCTCTTTGCCAGTGTGCTGTCAGTCAATCTTCAAGTCACCAATGAAATTTTATGTCTACCGCATTTTTGTCGCAATTCGAGCGAGAATTTCAAATTTTCAAAATTTTTCTGAATTTTGTCAAGTAGAGGCACTGGAAAAGTGCTGAATTTTTCTGTTGAGGTACTAAATTTTTGGGAAATGTTCTGAACAAGTACCGTCAAAGTACTGATTTATGGTTAGCCTGTCTTAGTAGACACCCTGTATTGATTTTCTGCTACACATGGCAAATTTGACGGCGTAAGTCCGCAATCACATATCTCGTTTGCAGTGTCTCAAAAACTCTGCCTCTAAGTTATTTTTTTAAAGGAGAACAAATTGATATCATTCCTTGAAGTTTTTGCAGAATTTTCTTCGCATAGAGAAGAAAAATCATGACAGTTTTGAATAATTGCCGTTGAGTATGGTTTTCCATTTAAAAAATAAAGTATGACAGGAAGTTTGCGACATCGCAAACCGAGTCATGTGTTTGCCGACTTACACCGTCGAATTTATTCAAAGACTTCTCACATCCTGTTTTTTTACTCTTGAATGGTCAATACTTAATTTTTTCATCTCTCATTTTGTTGCAGGGTACTTTGAAATGCTGAATCGGTTCGCGTCGCGGGGTTCGGAATCGAGCTTCTAATGGTGCGGTTTTTGAATCGGTCGTGCGAGTTTTTCCTTTGTGATTTTGCTTTTAAAGGATGAGTGATACATCGGAGACGCCGAGTCTCAGCGAGTCGGTTGTTTCGGTCGCTTCTCAACGCTCAACTGCATCTACTGCTTCTGGAATCAGGCCCCCATCGAAAATCAGTAGATTAGTAAGGCCAAAACCAGTGCCTGCCACGCCGAGTAAAGGTGAGTCTTTTAAAGATGCCTGCTTTTACTCACATTCTGCACTAATTTTTGATTTAAACTAACCTCAAAACATTTTATTTCTGGTTCTTTAAGAGTATCTTATTTGTCTAGAGTAGTTATTTGTCGATAACGTGTATCATGTTGTCGCATCAAATAATGTTTGACATTCACTGGAAATTTTTTTCTTGAGTAGGTATTATTTTGACTTAAATCGTTGTTTCTCGTTGACCAAATTTCGTTTTTTTGAGTCAGACCCGATCGGATTTAACGTAGAGTCATTTATTTTGAGTTTAAAAAACGTTGTTCTACTATTGTTAGGTTTAAGTTAAAAACAAATTTTAAAAAAACAACGTTTCTTTCTGACTCTAAGTTAAATCCGCAGGAATTTAACGGATATATATATATGAGTCGCTTTTATAGCGCTCTTTGGCGCTGTGCGACGCCTAATCGCCACAAAGCTCGGTCTTCCCACAGGTCATCAGGGAGTTGACAATCTCTTATCTCATTTAACACCCCCTGTCGCCAACCTCGCACTGGGCGTCCCCTACGTCTCCTCCCAGGAGGAACCCAATCAAGCATCTTTTTTGGCAGCCTCTCTTCCGTCATCCTATTGACATGACCATACCAAACAAGTTGTTTGGTCATGACGTCGAACACGATGTCATTTTCGACTTCCATTATCTGACGCACTCTATCATTACGGACCCGATCTCTCCTAGAAATTCCTGCTGACCTTCTCCAGAAATCCATCTCCGTTGCTCTTAGCATATCCTGTGTCCGTTTCTTCAGCTGCCAAACTTCACATCCGTATGTTAATATACTTTTGACTACAGCGTTGTATATCCTCCTCTTGTTATCTTTGGAAATCCGCTGATCCCAGAGGATTCCATTTAACATCGCTATAGCCTTCCTTGCTAAGGTGTTCCTTTCCCTGATAGCTTGATCCGTCCTTCCATCCTGGGTCAACCGCACTCCCAAGTACTTAAAGTGCTCGCAGCCTTTGATCTGCTGCCCATCCTCCAACTCAATGCTTTGCTGATCACCGCCAAAAGTCATCTTCTCAGATTTGGATATGCTGACTTCCAGACCCCACTTCCGACGGAACGGACGGAATTAACGGATTTAACGGATAAAAAACAAATTTTGTTGACAAAAAATGACGCTTTAAGTGAAAATAATATCTCAAGAAAAAATTTTTTCAGTGTTTAAGTTTACACTTAACGTACCTTAGGGGTGCAGAACCTTCCTGTCCTTGCGTTAAATTTAAGCATTTCGATGACCAAAGTGCAAAACCTCGTATCTCTCTTACAGTGTTTCAAAATTTCCGCTCCAATTTTATTTTTTTGAAGAGAAACAGGCTATAACTTCATAGCTTGAAATTGATGCAGAATATTCTGCTAACAGAGAAAGAAAATTCAAGAAATTAAGTATGTTGACTAGTTTTCCAAAGAAAAAATAAAGTATGGCAGGAAGTCTGCAACGTCGCAGACGGAGATACGAGGTTTCGTACTCTGGCATCGACTTGCAGCAATAAGAATTGAGGCCCTTGAGTATTTTTGTTTGGAACCGCTGAGGGACTCAGAAAGTTCAATCCTTTTTGAAAACTCCTCCTCTTGAGTTGCCTGTGTCACACTATCAAAGCTAGCTATAAAAATATGAATGTCAGGTGTTGTGATTGGCTTATTCGATAACTTGGACCAATCACAGCACTTGACCTTGACATTTTGATGGAGTATTTTGATAGTGTGACAAGCCTATAATGAGGAGGCTCTTAGTTTAATTCTGGAGCCTTTGAGGTTTCTGCACCCTTGCAATTGCTTCCAGCACATTTATTTTACTTTACTATTTGCGTTAATGCAGTGAGCTGTATATAAAATTGCTTTTCTTCTGGGTGCATATTTTGCAAGTTTTGTCTTTTTTGAAAGTCAGAAAAAAATGTAACAGTCAGAGTGGAGTGTCAGTGTAAATAAGAAACTGGAAATGTCTGATATTATACTGCTGTGCTAAGGAAAAACGCCGTATGACGTTATGAACCTTCATGTGTTGCCAAATTTTCTTTGATAAAACTCAAGTTTCCTGCTAAACTTATAAATATTTTTCTTTTAATTTTTTGGATAATTTTGCTCGCAATTTCAACTAAAGTTCCTGAAGATTGCAAGGAAAAATATTCGTAACCTTTCTCAATAATAAACATTAATTCGAGGAAATTCGGAAACTCTCGAATGTTTACACGGCATTCTTCCTTAACACGGCAGTATAGTGAATGTTGTGTTGGGTCCCGGTTCCCCTACATTTTTCCAGGATATTTAGATCCTAGTTGCCTCTGTAGGTCTTGCGCGGTATTGATTCTTCGTTTAATTCAAAATTAATGCAGTTTTTTTATATTTAGAATGGTTTTTTAACAATTTATACCCACTCCGTTTTTAAATTTGAAGAAGCAGTCTTATGTAAAAGAAAACAAAAAAGAAGAAAAAACTAGAGAGAAGATGAAAAGAACATCGAAACCATTCAAAGAAGGTGAATTTCATTGGCTTATAGAGTGAGATTTTTGACAGTTTATTTTTCGAATTCTTATCTTGAGGAGAAGTTGTTTCCCAAATGTGTTTTTTTCCCCTGTTTGTTTAATGCTGTTATCCCAGTGGGACCTACAGCCAACTATTGAATATTTGTACGAACTCAGAGGCTTTATTTCATCTAATACAGATTTTGATAAGAATATCTGTCGCTAAGAATTTAAAGTAGGTACATTTAAAAATTAATTTGAAAATAAACACATAATTTTCTTTTGAAAATTTGAATTAGCCGGCCAATCGCCAGTGTTACCACCAAGGGCATCCATTTATTTCCGAGGAAAGCACACCTCTAGTCTCCAGTGGCGAGGCGTGAACAATCGATCATCGATATTTCCTCATTTGAAACTGTGGTAAAGAATCGATTATCAGGGTGTTCGTAACGAACACCCTCTCTATCCATCAAAATCTATAGGTTTAAACGGCAGATCAATCGATATATCGCAAAGCACGCCACGCCTCTGGGTCTCATGTACAAATTGTAAGCGGCTCTCTCTCTCTCCCCCCCTCTCTCTCTCCCTCCCCCCCTCTCACTCTCTCCCTCTCGAGGAGTCGTGGTCGTGACTCGGACGATCAAGTCACGCTTATTGCGTGCTCTCAGTTTACAGGCGCATCATGACGGGAACGTGTTCAAAGCACTTCGACGGTGAAACTACCAAACTACGTATCTCGTTTGCGGTGTTTAAAAATCTACGCTCACATTTTATTTTTTTGAAGTAGACCAAATCAATATCATTCCTTGAAATTTTCACGGAATTTTCTCCGCACAAAGAGGAAAAATCACAGAAATTTTCAAGACTGGATGTTAAGTAGTTTTTCATTTAAAAAATAAAGTATGACAGGAAGTCTGCGACGTCGCAAACCGAGATACGTGGTTTGGTAGTTTCACCGTCGACTTAAAGCATTGGCTCTTGTTTTGTGACTTTTTAAACGGAAATGGTTCATATATCTTGTGTGAAATGCACGTGTTCCGTTGAAATTTCGTTCCCAGTTTAACGGGAAGGGTCTAAAAAGGTCTTCTGAGGTCCAAAAAGACCCAAACCGGTATAGATCTCTCGCCGTGACTCCAACTTAATATTCTAATGCAAACGCCCTGAGCTGAACACACCCCCTCAGTTTTGTAGTGTTTTGTTAGAGTTCAAAAAAATTTAGTTTTGACTCTAATTATAATTTTTGGAACTTCTAGGCTTTGATTTCCTCGCGAAATGGCGTGGACCCAGCACCATTTTTCCACCTTGTTACATACAGTATTCGGGTCTCTTCAAAGTGTTTTTTTTTTTTTTTTTCTCATTTTAATGGGAAGTATACACTGTTAAGAATTTCGAAGTGGAATTCTGTCCCGGAGTCTGTACGGCGCCCAAGAACCTCCAGTGACATGAATGCGGAGCGGAATTTATTTTCCATACGAATGACTTAAACTATATTACAGAGCGGAATCTTCTCTTTTTGCAGAGTATCATACGATACGCTTTTATAGTGCTAAATTTCACTACGAATTGGACTGCATTTTGCAATTTGGACCTATAAATTCTGGCTCATCTGAAAAAACACTTAGGGAAACTAATGGCACATACGTTGTTTTTAAACCGGGCCGGAATTTATAGGTCCAAATTGCAAAATGCAGTCCAATTCATGGCACTCGGGGTTTTTAGGCGTTTCATATACTCCGGCGCCAAATTTCACTCCTCGATCTGAACAGTTAACGGGCGAAGAAGATCAACAAGATAAATTATATCCATGCCCCGAGAGATTTGGCCAGAAAATTTGTCGACTCGTAATTTATTTTTAAACTCGGGTGTATCGATTTTTATGGAAGTACGTGGGACGACCCGACCCGACCGGCAGACTGTAATATGGTCTCCTGCTCCTCTGTATCGAAAACGGACCTTCGGCTACTCCTGCTGGTTCACTCCGTGCTCAAGTGTTTATTTAAGGAAGGTCAGTTTCGATATTAAAGACGCGTATGCTGTCGTGCTAAGGAAGAACGCCGTATGAACATCCGAGAGTTGCCACATTTCCTTCGATAAAACGTATATGTTCGAGGAAAGTTATGAATATTTTTCCTGGGGTTTTTCAGGAACTTTACTTAGGTGAAATTGCGAAAAAATCGAAAAATTGGAAGGGAAATATTCATAAGTTTATCAGGAAATTTGTGTTTTATGGAAGGAAATTTGGCAACGGCTGAAGGTTCATACGGCGATTTTTCTCAGCACGGCAATATGCTCGCGTTAACTCCACCGTAGCCGGATCGTCAAGTATCATGAGAATCAGTGGCGATGCGTGAACGGTCGATTATCGATATTTCTCCATTTGTGGTAACTGTGGTAAAGGACCGATTATTAAGGTGTTCGTTGCGAACTCCGTGTTTATCGATCCTCTTCCATAGGTTTAAATGAAGGACCAAACGATTTATCACCACTGATGAGAATT